GATTATATTTACTCTGCCCTTTACCCTAATATTACTTTAAACCGCATTGATTTAAATGTTTCCAGTCCTTCTCCGAGACAAGCCACTGCGCTTTGTTTGAAATTACATAACACTACGTAATAGAGCCCGCTGGTTCAGACTAGGGATGTTATGTTTGATTCTCATGCCAGTGTCAGAATGTTATCTCCTGACCAGACTGTAGAGACTGAGCGGGGCCCTTTTGAACAGGTAAATTGAGTAGACGCTAGACATTGTGGAGCCGGGAGGTCGGAGTTTAACAAGTCAGTGTAATTCTTGGCAGAACAGGCGTTTGGCAATTAGAAATGTTTGATCTGGGTCAAGTAGGAAACACAATGGCTTCACGGACCGTTTTCACACCGGCTAGTTAGATTCGGTGTAAACTAGATTGGGTCACTTAAGAATGTTTGCTCTAGGGATGTCAGTCCAGAATTGAGTGACAGGCCACTTGTTAGCTAATTTGATTTGATAGGTACTTCAGAGGCGGAGCTTAAGCCATCATCTTGAGGGTTGGGTAAAAACTAAGGAAAGGGAGGAGTTTAATTTGGACTATAGATTGATACTTATACTTCGAGCCTGTGGAAATCCCGTCATTAATCGCAGCCTGCCGGCAAACGAACACAGGGCGACGTAAAAGTATTTTACGGGCGCATTCTGTTTTGGCGATTAATGGGAAGTTCCCAGGTAAGAGAAAATATTAATTTTAATCTTGTATACTTAGGTTAGGGAGTTAAGCTTAGTCTATACTACCTTTTCCTAATTTGTCTGCACATTCTGCTTGAAATAGTTCTGTGTGAGTATTCAGTATCTCAGTTAGGGAACTGCTAAACTATTCCTATTTCTTGTATGTTTGTGTCACATGTTTTTCATTGTATGTTTTCATGTGTATAAAATAAGATGTGAACAATGACATTTGCTATAATGAAATGTAATTATATTGTTTCCATGATCAGCCAAAACATGAGTTTGGACTGTGGGGAAATCCAACCCATATGTGCAGGGATGCTGTTACGTTTTGTGTGCCCACCATGTGCTCACTTAAGGTGTTCACCTAAACAGGGGATTTATAACCCCAGGGGAAGAATGATGGGTGTACAGTATTCACGGTCACTGAAAGATAATATTCAGGACAGCGTGCGCATATAAATTGTTTGCGTTTTCAGCACATAACCTGCTCCACGTGGTCATGTAATATCAATGTCAGCCAGTGTTGGAAGTCTGAGTGATGACGGACAACAGACTTAGAAAGTCAACTATCATGACATAACATTGGAGGGAAGGCAGGATATGTGACGCCCATGTAAGACAAAAGACCTTCAGACTAGACTGGAGAGGATGTGGAATATGAGGAGGAGTGATGGGCTATATCTTATTATTATATGTTGTATTAATTGATACATGTATTCTTAGTGTAAGTCAAGATACTACACGTATGTGTTTTGTTTCCATGATTACAGCGCCCATGTGACGATCAGTCCATGAAGTAGCCTACATTGTGTTAGACTCGGCCAGCTGGGAACGAGGTGGAGAACGAGGTGGAGAACAAGGTGGAGAACGAGGTGGAGAACCAGGTGGAGAACGAGGTGGGGATGAAGTGGAGAATAAGCTGAAACAGGCAGACAACAGGCAAGGAAGAGTTGGACAAGCTTTACAGTTCCTCACGGCTGTCAGAGGCTTATAAGTTGAGTTAACCCCTTTATGTTAACCTATTATCATTATCATACCACTCTAAACCCCGAGCTGTTTTTCTCGCTGAAGCTTACCACCATCATCAAGTTAACCAGTCACTGTTTGTGTAAATCAACAAACTGGGAATTTCATTGTAGTAAATAAAGCTGTATGTCAAGTTTTAAACTACATAGTTTGTTAAATTCCAAATGTCTGTTCTTACATGTTTAATTAAACTGTTAAGATAGATTACCATTTGGTGGGGGCTCAAATAATATAATAATTCTTTAATTATTAATAATAACACCGGGAGAAGGTAGATGACGAAGGAATCACTTGCCCTGTCTAATAATTCATTTAGTATGATAGACATCTAAAATTCCTTGCCTTCTCTTGTGGGTACCAAGTTCAGCTAATGTTAATATACTTAACGAGCCAATATGGCTGTTTTCTTGGATATCCAGGACTTTGTCTGAGAGCAACATAGCTCAGATTTTAGTTCGGTTTATCTAGTGGAGAGAATGTGTTGAAAGGAAGATCCCTACTCAACAACATAAACATTTAAACCACGCGTCACGTCACATCCGGCTCCGCTAGGGAACGAACCCACGACCTTCTGATCCGCAGGCGAGCGTCTAGCAGTCACGCCACTCGACAGGGAGCAGACAATTGTAAACAGAGGCAGATAGGACAGGGATCGTCAGCATAATCCTTTTGCTAAGTTCACACTTCATTTAGGGCAGTGTCATCTTAGTGGCTTTTTGAGCCCCTGGACAAACCAATGTGCTGGGGTCCCTACGAAAATCACACACAGAGATTAAATAAATTGGTCGTTAATATTAAACACACACACACACACATATATATATATATATATATATATATATATATATATATATATATATATATATATATATATATATATATATATATATATGTATATTAGCACTTTAACTAAACTTGCGATAAAGCATAAACACAAACTGGTTAGGTTCACGTTAGTCTCCCTAAAAAATAGTAGATCACTTTTCATTTACAAGTTTGTTGGGCTGGTCGACTTTTCGTAAGGTTACGGGTGTCTCCCGCTCTGTTTGCCTTTTGTGATGTCTTGCATTTAGGTTTTCATTCCGAGAAAGAGAATGCCTGTGACATAGGTTGCAGCATTCTCTGGGGGGGGGGGGGGGGGTGTTAAGATCAGTTTTTCCCTGGCGTGCTGAAATATACAACACGCGATATCAACAGTATCACAGAACACACCCGTAATCTTGTGCCAATTTGACAGGTTCAGGAACTACCAGTCAGGAGTGAGCTAGTGTGTATATGGGCTGGGCCTGGAGAGATCAACGTAAATTTTACCACACAAACTAGACGGCACAGTATGAGACTAAGGATATATTATTATCCCTATCCCCTTGTGGGATGCGATTTTTTAGTTATTTTGAAGCCCCACCCTGGATTTTGCCCGGGGCCCTGAATATATCCGGGCCTGAAATATGGCATAACGGCTGAACAGGGTTTCTGGGACCTCTCAACGGGTGATCGTCATCCGCATGGTGGCACTCTGTGTCACAGGGTGTTTATCGCTTGTGTGATGTACTGGTGGGCTACAACTTACATACATACAGTATGAGATTACGAACTCTTTTATGTCACATTCACAGATCAGCTTGGGGCCTCTATGCTCGTAGGGTCCCCGGGAATGCCTAGCGGGCTTATGCGGTAAGACGGCCCTAATATAGAGCTCGCGATCAATTTCCCCTGTTCCTTTCTATCCTTTGCATTCTTTTCGATATCACAAATGCAATCCGATTTTGTTGATAATACACCTCTCCCCCCACCTCTCCCGCCTCTAGTAACAGAGGTGAAGCCTCCACTAGCAAGTTCCAAGTGAAGGACTTGTGAGGTAACTTGTGGGGGTCAGTGTCGGAGGCCAAGTGTCTGGACACGCGTGTCGTGGAATGATAAGCCCTTACACATCACCCCTAAAGAGTGGGGACTTGACTTACCTGTATTCGACACAACATTCAAACTTGGACTCGTCCGGGAAGGTATATACTCCCTTATATCGATATATGCCTTTATCGGACATAATTATAATATCTACATCTTCTAGTTGCTTCGACTTAGCGTTAATTTCAAATTTGCAACGATTTGATAAATATTACTGGAGTTATTTGAGGTTTCTTAGAAACCGATTTACTCCTTGCTCATGTATACAAGGAACATCTTACCAACGCCCGAATTGAGAATTTTGCTCCATTCTTTCTGCCGGCTTTCCTAGCGTTCAGATGTATGCATCGACGCCAGAAATTTTCACTTTCAGAAGGCGATCTGTAATGTCGGGGACTTTTCCTATGCTTGGGTAAGTTAATTATAGTCTACGAGTACCTTAAATGATGTCTGTTGAAGTGGTCACTGCTGTAGAGAGATCAGAATCGGTTGTGGGATCACACATAGTTCGACCGTTCTTGATCACTAGAGAAGCGGATTCGAACTTGTATTCTGGAATCCGTCTATTGAGATATGGCATCTACTTCACTATTATATATATATATGTATATGTTGTAATGATTACATGCATTCATTTTCATGGCTGACTTAGGTGTCTCTATTTCACCTTTTTAAGTGTTTAGCATTTGTGTGTGTATGAATCATAAATATTATATGTGTTAACATGGTTATGATAATGAATTATCATAACCTGGGGGCTTTCTTTAGTAAGTAGTGGGGGTGTCCAGCCAAGTGTGCCTAGGAATATTGTATTCATATACAGATATATTTTGTAGTGCCAATACTTGAGTTGCTCTACTCCAGAAATAAGTTGAGCGTATATTGGCCACGGGGAATCCCTTAGACCAATACGAGCCAAACGACTCAACAAAATTGTTTCTGAGTGCTGTTGGTTCTTAAGGAGAAATCCTTAAATCCGGCACGTGACAGGAGTGATATGTGACAGAACAACATATCCCCAAAAATCTGTGGTCTCGTCGTGGGATTGTTTGTAAACACTGTTCAATCGTTAAAGTTGCTGGTGATCTTGGCCAGGAGTTGTTCAGTGTTTGTTTATTGTTAACACAGTCGTGACCATTCTGGGTCAGTTCTTAGAATATACTCCTAGGAGTGATTTGTAATCATTGTGGTGTTCAAGTACATTGGGTTAGGTACAACCTTGGTAGGTGGTGACAAATTAATTTATTGGTGATTATATTTACATTGTTGGTGACAATATAATTTGTTGTGGACTGTTAGATTGACAAGACAGCATGTCGCAGTCAAAAATTTCCATACAGGAATTGAAGGACATGGCTGTCCAGATGGGATTGGAGGGTAAAGAAATGACCGAGTGGATTAAAACCACGGAACGTGAGATGAGGATGGAAGCCCGTGAGGCAGAAAGACCCAGAATTGAATCTGAGAGGATTCAAGAAACCGAACGTTTAAAGATTGAATCTGAGAGACTCAGACTTGAGTCTGAGAGGGAATCAGAAAGAATGAGATTGGAACACAAAGTAAGATTAAGGGAAGTGGAACTTCAGGCACAGAGAGAGGGTAATAGACCCAGATCTCTAACACCTGAGATTGATGGTGCATCAACGCATAGTAGCTCAGCTCAGGCGATGAACTTTCCTATGCCAGTCTTCGACCCGAAGGCTGAAAATATTGAACAGTACCTAGACCGATTTGGCAATTTGGCATCTTTGTACAATTTGGAAAGGAATATGTACACGCTGAAGTTGGCTCAATGTTTGAGGGGTGAGGCATACGAGATTTATCAGCGGATGCCCACCTGTACTAAGACTGATTATGATGCATTGTGTCAGGCTTTGCTGAACTTAATGCTGCGACATACAGACAGAAGTTCAGAAATGAGAGAAAGATGACAGGGGAGAACTATCCCAATTCGCCAGTCGCCTTCAGGGATATTTGACGAGGTGGAGGGAAATGTCTGGATAGTCCTCTTCTTTTGAAGATTTACAGGAGATGGTCCTAACGGAGAACAACTCCGAGAGACATTACCTCGGCCTATGCAAACCTTCCTGACGGAGAATGGTGCTGACAGACTGAGTGAGATGTTGATGTATGCTGAGAGTGTATAGGTGGAAACCCAAGGCCCAGGGCCAAGGGAAGAATAATGGTAATGGTCATAAAACTCATCCAAATGAATCCCCTAAAAAGAATACATCCCAAGCAAAACCCCAGAACCCTTCAAAATTTCAGGGAACACAACATAGACAACCCTTTAATGGGCCTAAAAAGCCTTACTGCCATATTTGTAAGAATAATAACCACTGGACTAAGGAATGTAAATCCAAACAGTCAGGGAATTTACAAGTATCAGCTTTGTTGTCTACTGTAGTATCTTCTACCCAGGAAAAGTTGTACAATGGTTCCAATAGGCCACCTGTGGTAGAGAGGGTCTGGGCTAAGGGATATTTTTTTAATTGTTTTTATGACAGGGGATTGTCATACGGCTGTGTGGTGAGGCCAGAGTTTGTAAAACCTGACCAGTATACAGGCAGATTCATAGAGTTCCAATGTGCCACATTGGATGCTAAACCTTTTAACTTGCCGATTGCTAAGATTAGGGTCCGTTCAAAGTATGTCTCGGGGGTAATTGAGGCTGCAGTGCTTGAACACTGTACCTTTGATTTAATTCTTGGCGCTACTTATGTATATTTAGCAGAGCCGAAGAAACCTTTAGAGCATCTTGCTGCGGTGACCACCCGAGCACAGCATAAGAGTGCCTCAGAGGATTCTCCTCATGTAAATCCTCTTCCTGAGGAAATTAAGGTGGCCCAAAGTAGTGACCCAACTCTTAAGGCATGTTTTAAAAAGTTAACTGCAAGTCACAATCCCCCTTTGAAGAAAGAATTCTTCATGAAAGGTAAGTTACTTTGCAGATGGGCAGGTGACAAGTATACAGAGCACAGTCAGCTTGTGGTACCCAAAACATATAGACAGCAGATTCTCCAGATGGGACACACTATAGCCTATAGTGCCCATATGGGAATTCATGCAACGACACAACGCATTGCCTGTCATTACTTTTGGCCAGGTATGTCAGCAGATATCATGCGTTATGTCAAATCCTGTCCGGAGTGCCAGAAGGTAGCTCCCAAAGGCAGGAATGCACCAGTCGGACTGGGGGAAACCCCTGTCACCTTCACACCTTTTGAAAGGGTGGCGGTCGATTTGGTGGGACCACTTCCTCTCACAAAGAAGAAGAATGCTTACATATTGACCTTGGTAGACTGTTGTTCAGGTTATCCGGAGGCTATTGCACTTCGGAAGATTGACAGTAAGACTGTGGCAGAGGCATTGATGAGCATTTTCACAAGAGTGGGATTCCCTTCGCAGATACTGACAGACAATGGATCTCAGTTTAGAGGGAAACTAATGGAGGAGGTGTTTCAGATAATCAAGTCTCAACACATTTGCACCAGTCCATACCGACCCCAAGCGAACGGCCAGAATGAGCGGTTCAATGGAACGTTGGTATCGCTTCTGAGAAGATTAACCCAGGAAAAGCCAGAGAGGTGGGACGAGTATCTGTCTGCAGCACTATTCGCCTACCGGGAAGTGCCCAATGCCTCTACTGGATTTCCACCTGCGACCTTGGTGTTCGGAAGACACATTTCTGGACCCTTGGCCATTCTCAGGAAGACATGGACAGACGAAGGGGCAGATGATTCCTTGAAAACTATATCACAGTATGTGCAGGAACTCAAGGAAAGGTTAAAGCTAAGGTGGGACCTGGCTAAAGAGAACTTGATTCGTGCACGTAAGAGATACGCTGCACATTTCAACCGGAAGACGAAGGAACGATGTCTTGAGGTTGGAGATAGGGTTCTTTTGCCGCTACCCTCAGGGAAGTCTAAGTTAGAACTAGCTTGGGGAGGCCCTTATACGGTGGTAGAGAAGATATCCAGGATCCATTATAAGATCAACATTAAAGGTAAGTCAAAGGTCTATCACATTAATCTCCTCCGGAAATACAACGAGAGAGAGGTAAGTGACACACCGACCCTCTTGACACTTTCTGTAGCTATGGAGGTGGAAGGTGGAGAAGCCACAGCTGTGGAATATCCTCTTCACCCCAGGGAGATCTATAAAGATGTAGAGGTTAACCCAACTCTCTCTGTCTCCCAGAAACAAGCTATAGAGCAACTCTTGTCAGAGTACGATTCTGTCCTGACAAAGAAGCCAAGGCGCACTTCATTAATGGAGTATGATATGACGTTGGTTACTGATGAGTCTATTCGTCAACGCCCTTTTCAGATCCCTTTCTCTAAGGAGGAATCAGTGAGAAAAGAGATCTAATATCTACTTAAGGAAGGTGTGATTTCACCCTCAGAGTCCCCTTACAGTGCTAATGTAGTGCTCTTGAGAAAACCTTCAGGTGAGCATCGTCTGTGCATAGACTACAGACAACTGAATAGGGTAACGGAATTTCTTCCGGAGCCCCTTCCTGATCAGAGTCATCTGTTTGCCCGGCTCAATAAGGCCAAGTTTTTTTCCAAAATTGACCTGAGCAAAGGGTATTATCAGATTCCGGTCAGGAAGGAGGTGCGTAAATATTTAGCTTTTAGCACCTCAGATGCTCATTATGAATTTAACGTCCTTCCTTTTGGAACTTCCAACGCTCCGGGGGTCTTCACCAGAATGATGAGACTGCTTCTAAACCCCTTGGGGGACCCCTCTATCTCCAATTTTATGGATGATATTCTGGTGGCGTCCGAAACCTTCGAGGAGCACATAGTTTCGTTGCGAAAACTATTACAGAGGTTGAGAGAAACGGGTCTGACTACCCGACCAACCAAGTGCAAATTGGCTTGGCGGGAGTTCTTGGGGCACACGGTTTCTGAAGGAACCATTAGCCCAGAACCCAAGAACACTGAGAAGCTTAAGAAGGCTCCTAGACCTGCAACGAAGAAGGAAGTCCGTTCCTTTGTATCCCTGTGCGGATATTATCAAAAGTTCATTCAGAACTTCAATTCTATAGCGACAACTTTAACAGATGCCACCAAAAAAGATCATCCTGAGAAGGTATGTTGGACCCCTGAGTGTGAAGACGCCTACCGCACTCTGAAAGAGAAATTGACTTCATCCCCAGTGCTGCAACTTCCGGACTTGTCTAAGCCCTTTGTTTTGCGCACTGATGCGAGTGGTGTAGGAATTGGGGCCACACTCCTTCAGACAGGATTGCAGGATTCTGAGACTCTCTTTCCTGTGGCATATGCCAGCAGGAAGCTCAACCAGGCTGAACGACGTTACTCCTGTATTGAGCGAGAGTGCCTTGCTTTGGTTTGGAGCGTTCAGCGGTTCCAACCTCATCTATGTGGTGTACAATTCACAGTACAAACTGACCACCAACCTCTCGTATTCTTGGCATCTTCCAACCATTCGAACCCAAGATTGATGAGGTGGTCCTTGCTACTGCAACCCTATTCGTTTACTGTGGAATATATTCCTGGTAATCAGAATGTGGGAACAGATTTCTTGAGCCGCCATCCCTTGTCTGATAATTCACAGACTGAAGGTGATGAGCAAGCTGAAAGTAGTGAGTCCATAGATGTGTAGATAGCTGATCATTGTTCATTCGCGTAGTACGCTCTTCCCTTTGGGGGGAGGGGGGGGGGTACTGTCGTGGAATGATAAGCCATTACACATCACCCCTAAAAAGTGGAGACTTGACTTACCTGTATTCGACACAACATTCAAACTTGGACTCGTCCGGGAAGGTATATAGTCCCTTATATCGATATATGCCTTTTTCGGACATAATTATAATATCTACATCTTCTAGTCGCTTTGACTTAGCGTTAATTTTCAAATTTGCAACTATTTGATAAATATTACTGGAGTTATTTGAGGTTTCTTAGAAACCGATTTACTCCTTGCTCATGTATACAAGGAACTTCTTCTTACCGACGCCCGAATTGAGAATTTTGCGCCATTCTTTTTGCCGGCTTTCCTAGCGTTCAGATGTATGCATCGACGCCAGAAAATTTCACTTTCAGAAGACGATCTGTAATGTCGGGGACTTTTCCTATGCTTGGGTAAGTTAATTATAGTCTACGAGTACCTTAAATGATGTCTGTTAAAGTGGTCACTGCTGTAGAGAGATCAGAATCGGCTGTGGGATCACACATAGTTCGACCGTTCTTGATCGCTAGAGAAGTGGATTCGAACTTCGACCTTCCTCTGTACAGACTAAATAGCCTATGCCCTAAATAACCCACACATACTGGTAAAACTAATAACCTTACAAGTGTGTACCATTTAAACTAACAACAGAAGTTTGTGCATACGAATGGGGACAGAATTTGGGTCAGTACGTGGACAGACAGAGCTGCGTGAGTGTGTCTGACCCAGATCAATGAATGTGTGGAAATGACTTGAGAGTCGTAGGGAATAGGGGTACTGACGGTAAATGGTGGTGTCTGTGTGCAGATGGAAGGGGGGAGATATTGATATATGTGTTAGAGTGACTATCTATCTCCACTAT